GCTCTCCCCCGCCGTGCTGCTGAAGCTGCTGGTGCTGGAGGAGGAACGGGAGATGTTCGACCGCCCGTTCTCTTTCAGCTTGATAAAAGGCCTAGAGAGAGGCGGAACGAAGGAAGGGCGCGTGGCTGTCACCAGGGCAGCATGTCCCTGGGACTGGGATGGGGACGGGCCCTCCTGCACATCCCGGAGCACAGTGCTGCCGCAGGAATGAGCCTTTGGGGTGCTTCAGCACACAACCACCTCCAAAGGCGTGGGACAGGGCACGGGGTGGGTGCCAGCAGGAAACCCTAGGTGGAGCTGAGTTCGCCTTGGCAGGGAGGAATAGGCACAGCAGCCTTCCACGTCCTGAGGATTCGGGCAACCTCGGTCTAACGCTGCTCTTTGCTCTTCTTTGTAAAACCAAAAAAGGAGCTGGGCTCAAGAACCACCAGAATCTTTTCTCCCTTAATATCAAACTTATTTACAGTGAAATTTAGATATGGTTTTGTTTGACAAATTCCTTGACGTCTGCTGAGCTGTGGTGGAAGGAGGACGGGCTCCTCCTGGCTCACCTGTCTTTGTTGGGGCATATTTCAGGGGAGCTGGGATTGGATGAGGTTTCAGATTTCATCTCTTGGGAAGAATGTCCCAAATCTGGTGTCTTCTGGGCTCCAGAAACACTGTCGCTGAGGGCACAAAGAGACAAGTTGCATGAGTTATACAAGAGATTTTAAAAGGATGGTCAAATTGTACTACCTGACAATAAACTGTGAGAGCAGCAGAGGCTCTACAGGCACCACCACAAACTCACCACCTTGTCCTGCTCTCCGCCTGGCTCTCCGATGTCGTGTGCAGGCGGGGGAACAGCCCTGAGCGGCGCTTGATGGGGCTCCTGGACTGGTTCTTGGCAGCAACAGCTGGGACAGGGGGCTGGCAGCAGAGAACAGTCTGGGTCTGAGAGCCCCTCGGGCTGTGCAGGGCCGGGAGGAGGCAGGGACACAGGGACACAGGGACACAGGGACACAGGGACATGCTCACCGAGAAGGTGGTCTTGGTCACCTCGCCGCTGTTGTGGGCAATGCCCCCGCTGAGGCTGCCTGGGATGCCACTGCCATGGTGCTTCTTCTGGCTGCCCACCATGGTCTCCATGGAGTGGCTGCGCACCCGGATGGCTCTCTGTGCCAGAGGGGACAGGGACAGCAGGTCATCACCACCCAGGGGGTGCTGTCCCCAGAACTCCTCCCCGGGCACAAGGGAGAGCCACCCTCTGTCCCTCCCCGAGAGCAAGCACACCCCAACAGCAGCACAGCTGAGCACGGCTGCCCCTGGGGAGGCCCACAGCCACCACAGGATCAGATTTTCCCCTATTGCTCCGTGATATCAAGGACTCCATCTCTGGGACCAGGAGATGCAGACACAAGCCCCAAGCCCAGGCCAAGCTCGCAGACCCCTCGGCAGGAATGGGGACCGCAGCCAAGCCATAAGCCTTGTTTGTGTGCACACCTTCCACAATTCTGCCTGGATTCAGAGAGGACGGATCCTCTCCTGCCTTTCTTGCACCTCTCCTGCACCTCTCCAGCCTACCCAAAACAGCCCCTGAGCTGGAGGCTTCACAGCCACATGAAAGTGCTTCTGTTCTTCAGCAAGCTGCTGCTTGAGAATACGTTTAGCCTGAACCCCTGCTGTGGCCTCTGGTTTGGTTTATGCACCTCTGGAAGGGACTGGAGGTGAGCTGTGCAGCACTGGCCCCACGGCAGCCACAGGCCCTCCCTGCTCCCGTGGATCTTCATTTCTCCACGTCCCTTCCCTCACTCCTCACATCAGCAACCTTCTCCATTCTCCTCTCAGCTATTCCCTCAGCCATGGCTGATCCAGCCCCTGAACCCAGCCCAGGCTAAAGGGTAAATGAGCCATGGCAGGCCAAGTTCCCTGGGTGCCAGTGCTGCATCTGCAGCATGCAGGCTCATGGAGCCACAGGGGGACCTGCACAGGGTGAGAGGAACTGCAGCCCTGAGCTCTCACCGAGCCTGCAGTGCTGCAGACCACAGCCCCAGCAGCCCCTCCTGCCCAGCCAATAATGAACATCAGGCAAGAGTCCATCAGACTGCATTTATTGGGGTCAGCAGCATTGACATACAATTTGATGTTGTTCTTGGGTAAAAGTGATCAGTTGCTTTGCTGCAAAGCAGCAGCCACAGGCACTCCCACCCTGCAGGCTCCTGTCCAGGGCTGTGGAACTCTGTGGGGTTCCCCAACAGCCCAGCCCTGAGGAGGGGCTCCTTTCCCCACACAAGAGGCAAAGGCACCTCTCACTCACTCACCCAGAGCCCTGCAGAACTGAGCTCTGCTCACCTCTGAGAACTGGTCCCCCAGCCAAGGGGATGGGTCTGTAGGCTGGGTCGTGGGTGCAAGGCAGCGAGCAAAAAGGTACAGTGGGGACAGGGGTGAGCCCTGCAGCCTTTGTCAAGGGGACCAGGTGTGAGCCCTGCAGCCCTCCTGTGTGATGGAGACAGGTGTGAGCCCTGCAGCTCCCCTTCACCATGGGGAACAGTGTGAGCCCTGCAGCCGCCCTTTACCGTGTGTGCTCCCGTCACTCCCAGAGCACGCGGTGCAGGATGTAAGCCAGCAGGCAGCCCAGCAGCGCGGGCCCGAGGCGCCCCACACGGACCACGGGGCTCACCTCCCACCCCAGCACTCCCTGCAATGCCAAGAGAGCACGGGCTGTCTCCTCACACACACACAGTGGGCCAGAACATCCCTGCCCAACCTCAGCGCTGAGACCTGACGTGAACGCTGCGGTGTACGACTGACTGTGCCCTTCCTACGCGTCTCACACTGGAACAGACACTCCTGAGCCTCTGCAGCGGGGTCTGGGGAGCTGTGCACCCTCCTCCTCAGCCCCATCCTCCAGGTACTGATTCACATCTCACTTCTCTGTGCTACAGACACAGCCATGCCTGAGGTAACAGCAGGAACTGTCCCAGCAGGCCCAGCAGGACAGACCCCTGCCCAGACAGTGGCAGCCACCCAGCGCCAGCCCCTCCGTGCTGCAGGGCAGCTGCACCGCAGGCACCTGGCAGTGGCTCACCCCTCAGCTGCTGCCCCTCCATCTCCAGGGTGTCCCTGCTGCCCAGCCAGCCACAGTCCCTGCTGCCAGTGGCTGCTCAGAGTTTCCCCCACAGCACTTTACCCACTCCTTTTCCTCCAGCCCACGTCACCTGCTTTCCCTCCCACTCACCCAGGCTCCCTGGCACACTCAGCACCCCTTCCCCACTCCACACCCAGCATGTTATTTCTGTTTTAAGCACAATGACCACCACCCACTTGCTGTGGCAGCTGCCCCAGGCACCCCTCGTGCTCCCTGTCCCACAGCAGTGCCAGCCAGCAGCCAGAACATGAGCAGGACATGTCCTGCTACAGCACAGCCCAGCTGCAGGCACACTCTGTGGCAGAGGCCTGAAGTGAGACCCCTCTGGGGACACGAAATGCTGCAGCACACTGGCACAGAGTGCTCAGGAGCTCTGGAGAAGTCACTCCAATGGGGACACTCCCCAACAATGCCACCGTGCCAGCTTTTGCTGGCTCCCACTGGGACCAGCTCGGGCACTCGGCAGGCTGGGCAGGCAGTGGTGGCAGCAGCCCCCACCTCCTCTTGCCACCCTACCCTCGGGGGACGTCTCTCGTCCCCCAGCGTGCACTCTGCCAGCCCCAGGTGCCTTTCAGCCCTGCTGCTGGCAAGGGCAGGGCTTTACCTTGAAAGACTCCAGGAAGCCTCCGTGACCGCCATTCTCCATCTTGTCCTCCTCGGGCCCCAGCCCCAGCATGGTCTGCGTGTGCCCGTGCAGCTCGTCGTGCAGGTTGTCCAGCAGGGCAGCCCGCGTCCGGTCCTGGGGAGAGCCAGCGCTCAGCCAGGGCCCGGGAGGAGCAGTGGCACTGACCCATGGCCCAGCCCGTCCTCTGGAGGGCACAGCCACCCACAGGCAGCGCCTCTCGTGCCTGCGAGCACTGACCCAGCTGGGCAGGGAAAGGCAGCTCTGGGGAGGGCTGGCACAGCCCCCAGAGCTGCCCCAGGCAGGGACACGGGGGCAGCGGTACCTCCAGCTTGGCAAACTTGTCGGACTTGCAGCAGGCGTTCTCAGCATTGATGAGCTTGGTCAGCAGGAACTCCCGGAACTCGGGGCTCTGCAGGGACAGAACCGAGGCACAAAACATCCTCCAGCTCAGGACTCTCTGTGTCTCTGGTAGCAAGCTGCACCAACCCAAAACCCAAGCTCTCAGCACCTGGCAGTGCCTCCAGGTGCAGAAGCATTGGTGGAAACCCAGGGGGTTTGAGGGGTTTGCCTGCACCAACACAATGCCCCAGCACCAGAGCTGCTGCTGCTGCCTTGCTCAAGTAATGCCATGCTGTGGTGCACGGCCACACACCCTACCATAAACACCAGGGGCCCCAATGGAAACCAAAATTAATGCAGGCCAATTCCAGCAGTCCTGTTTTCCCCAGGCCAGTGTGCGTGGACACACCTCATAGAAATGTAGAAATCTACATTTCTACGGCTTGGAACACGCTTCCCTGGCAGCCCCTACCTTCTGGAACACCGGCGGGCTCGGCAGGGGTGGGCCAAAGGAGGGAACATCTTCCCGGGCTGTGACTGACACCTGGGGAGCCAAGAGACGTGTTATTCCCACAGGTGCACAGGAGAACAGAGTTTGTGCCACCTACACCCAGGTGATATGTCAGACTGTTCACGGCACATTCAAATGCTGAGGATCATCAAAACTCTTTAACAAATGAGCTGTTTCACAAACATGTATTTCATGTACTGCTGTCTGTATACACACACATTCTGTCACAGTGCATACATAACACACCTGTGTGCACACGTGTGTGTGCTCAGCACACAGGTACAAGTCCCCGCCAGGCCTAACACTGACTGCATCACTGAGCACAGGGCAAGTGCCCTGGGCAGCCTGTGCCGGGGCTCACCACCCTCAGAGGGAAGAATTTCCTGCTAATCTCTAATCTAACCCTACTTTTGCAAGTGGGAAGCCATTCCCCCTCGTCCTGTCACTCCATGCCCCTGTCAAAAGATGCTGAAGCAAAACTGTGTGGGTGACACTGGGACTGCCCTCACCTTGTACACTGTATTGTCTGCCTCGGGGTTCTCCACCTGCACCACGATGTAGGCGTGCAGGAAGTTGGAGGCAATCATGTCTGGCACGAATGGTGTGTTCTCCTCTTGGAAGATAATTGCCACTATGTCGTTGCCAATGTGCCTCTTCCTCTGGAGCTAAACCAGCAGGGAGAACATTGGGTCAGTAAAACCAGGCAGCTCTGCTCCTGCAGCAGCAAGTGCCAGTCCCGTGCTGGGGAGCCAAGCAGCCCCATCCCACGGGCCAGGGCTCAGCAGGGCCCACAGCACTGGGCAGCGTCAGGGCATCCCCACTCAGACCCCTCTGAGCAAGCAGCCACGTCTCTCTTACTTGTTGTGTGTCTCCTTCGGTAAAAGGCAGCTTGGTGGAGACATGAAACATTATCTCCCTGTCCCTGAACACCGTGTACACAGACTCCACTCCCGTCTGCCCATGGCTGACATCCAGGCCTCCTCGAAAACTGGAGATCAAGGGAAAGGCGGAGAGAAGCTCAGAGATGTTAATTGAAAGCTTCACAGGGAGCACCAGCGGCTGTCAGGGGACAGGCTGATGAACAGCCCAGCTCATTTATCTTTATCTAGCAGCGAGCAAATGGGAAAGAACAAACCGTGCGTCATGTGCTGCAACCAGCCATCGCTGTCACCAGCCTGAAATACAGGGTGCACACAAGGCAGGGCTGGTCAGCAGGGCTGACCCCAGCCATGGGCACGAGCCGTGGCCTCCCCATCCCTCAGCAGCAGCGGGGGTCTCTCCTGCATGGTGGGACTGCCCGGAGGCACCCGTGGCTGAGCCGCGACATCCGGCACAGCACATTGCCACAGACTGCCTTCCATCTATGGCTGAATATAGCCAGATTTTATCACAACCTCAAAGCTGCAGGAAAAGAAATTTTTCTCTCTTGGCAGCTCCAATTTTTTTTTAACTCCCCCAGCCTTGAAAAACAAGCCAAAACTATATTTGCTTCTGCTCCGCACATCCCGCTCAAGAGCGAGATGACTTCTGTTCTCACACATAGATATTTTTACATATGACATGGTCTCTTGTTAATGTATTTGTAAAATCATCCTTTTTATTTAACTTACCCTTTGAAGTCCTGGAGAGTTATGGTGTCTCCCAGAAAACTTAAGAAGTTCTTGAAGGCAGTGCTCTCTTCATTATTGCCAAAGAGCTCCTCCTCTTGTGTCTACAAAACACAGGGTGTATTGTGTTGACAGCCCCAATTTCCCTGCCTGTCCCATCCCCTGCCACCTCCAGCTCCACCCACGGGGTCCCTGGGGTCTGACCAGCATCTTGTTCCCTGGTGTCCTGCACAGCCACAGGCTGCTCCCCACTTCTGCTCCCCGGCTGGCACCCCCACATTGCCCACCAGCACCATCCACGGGCTGCACAGCCCGCTCAGCACCCAGCACAGCCCAGGGCAAAGCTGCTGAGAGCCTCCTCTGAGCCCCAGCAGGGCCTTGGGACAATGTCCAGGAAATACCAAACCAGAAGTGAATTCTCTGTTGAAAAATCCCTAATCATCTCCTGCTTGCTGTATTTCAAAACAATGAGACCCTAATTACAGCCTTGCATGAGTCACTCAATCCAACCCAAAATGCAATATGTAGAGTGCCTGTCAGAGTAATTCTCAGTGAGTTCTGAGGCTGAGTTCTGCACTCCCCATCCAGAGTCTCCCTGCTAATGACAGCACTTTGAGCAAGCGCCTCTCTTCAGAGCCCACAGTCCCTCCAGACAAATGTAGCTGTTTAGCTGTCTAAACATATATCTGATTAAAATACCATGCCTGCTAAAATCCATTTTCACATCCGCTTTTCCCCACAGCAGCTTGTGGGCTGATTTCCATACTGAGACTTTTCAGTCATATAATTTTTTAATGAGTGGGGAAAACATCCGAGCAATGAGAAACACAGTCAGTGAGGACAGCCAGTGCCACAAGGTGCTGCACGTGGCAGAATCAAGGTCAGAGTTGAGCCTGTGCTCCTGAAACGTGGATCTCTGGGATCACTGGGACATGCTCCATGAAAGGAGCATGGGGACAACTCACCTGCCTGAACTTCTGATAGATCACACCAAACTTGAACGTGTTGTTGACCTCATGCTCATCATAGGACACTATCATCTGGGATGCCTGCAGGAAAGCAAAACGCCAATAGTTTCATCTGGTGGTTCAAAATGTGATGGCCAAAAGATCCATGGAGAGGGGTGAGGAAAGCCCACCAGAGCTGCAGCAGGGTACAACAACAGCTGGGCAGCATCAGTGGAGGGGAAGGGGAAAAGAAGACAAATTCCCACATAATTAGGCTAAAAGTTTTCAACAGTGGCCCAGGGTGGGGTTCTCAGTGTCCCTGCAGAACACACAACCAGCTTGGGCAAGTTAGCTCACCTTGGGGTAGAGAACCGGGTTAAACTTCAGCCCAGAGGCATCGTCACAGAAGGCCTGTGGGCAAGGGGAAAGAGCAGTCAGTGCCAGGTCCTGGGCCAAAACTTCAGCCTTCAATGTCTTACAAAGAAGCCAAATACAGTCTGCAATAGCAGGAGCCCCCCACTTCACATCCACCACTGGGATCCCCAACTGAGGATGCAGCAAGCCAGGTCCCAGGTCCCTCCGTGTCAAAGGAGAGCCCCTTGCTCTCTTGCAGGAAAACAACAGCACCACCCAAGTGCCCAGTGACCTGAGAGCCCAGGCACTGCTGCCCAGCACTGCCCAGCACTGCCTGGCACAGGCTTTGCTGCACGAGTTCCAGCCAAGCCAGAAAATTCACCTTTGCAATCTGGGGAATACTTGGGAGTTTGCTGAATCCTGCCAATGGGATTCTTTCATGAAGTGTCTTCACTTTAGACCTGGCAAAGAAACAACGAGCACACAGATGTCAGAGTGCCTACAGCAAAGCAGCACCAGCTGTTGGGAAACACAGTTGTGCTGCATTTGTTGGGCCTGGTTAGTGAACAAAGGCTCGATTTGTCCTCTCATCTCTTAAAATATTCATAGTTTGAGGGAAATGACACAATGGCTCAGACGTGCTGGGTCCTGTCAGCTTATGGAGGGATGGTGAGAGAAGTGACTGGTGTTATCCCAGGGAGGATTAAACCCCAGAGGTTTATGTTCAGTTCCAGCAGGTTTAGTGACAGATCAAAGTCTCACGTTCATTATCAGGTTTAGGCAGTCCCAGCACAGAAACACAGGGATGCTGCCACTGCCTCCCATCCCACCCAGACCCCTCCACATGCTGCCAGTCCAGCCCAAGCACCTGCTGTAGAAACAGAACCAGGGACTCACAAAGAGAGAATATTTTGTTAAACAAAGTTTTTTTTTTCTGTACCTGAGTATAACCCTTAAATATTCTGTGCCATCTGTCTCCTCGCATTTAACAGAAAGGATCAGATTTCCAAGGCTGCTGGCTGTACAGTAGAAATTTAAATGATCCTAAAAATAGAAAACAGCATGTTAGCAGCCGGGAAGCAACTCGCCGGTGGCAAGGACAGTGCCTGGCCACTCACCTGCCACCCCACAGCCTCCCACCACCCACCCTGCACCCCTTGCCAGGAGCAGGGCTGTGAGCAGGAGGGCAGGGGCTGCCCCACAGGCCCCCGTGTCTGGCTGAGCCCCAGGGGCAGGAGGCTCAGAGCCAACACCCCCATTGGTGTCACAGGAGACCTGTGCCCATGGGGCTGGGGCACAGCCACATGTGTGGCCATCACTGCCATGCTGGGAACCCACCACTGCTCCATTCCCTGCAAGGAGGGAAATTGTAAAACTCGCCCATTTTGCTCTCAACTGGAGAGTTTTCTTAGCCAAAGGGTTGAGCCCGTGGGGTGGAGGAACCCACCTTCCCCAGGAAATGCTTGCGGTAGGCTCTGGCCTCTCCCTTGCACTCCAGCTTGTAGCCATAGGTGCTGGGGCTGAGGTTTTCCTCCTCCTCCTCGCAGATGCTGCTGTCAGATGAGGTGGGCGTGCCAAGGTTTTCTGGGTCTTCTATCCAGTAGCCCCCAAACTGGGGCAGGATGATCAGTGGGTATGGGCTGCCCTTCTCCAGGATCTGCAGAGACATGCGCCACGAGGGCTCAGGCAGGATCGGGGTGTGGATGTGGGATGCAGAGCTCACTGCTCCATGTTTTGCCCCTCTCCTGCAGCAGACCCCAGCCCCGGAGGGACAAGTCCAGTCCCTCTCTGAAACCTCTTCTCTGTGACAGAAGAGGGCACATGCTACTGAGGAAAAGCCAAAAGCCACAAAGGTAGGGAGGAGGAACATGCTTTATGTAGCTCCTCTCAGAAACAGAATCCCACCAATTCCTCTGCCATCAGCAGTTTTGGAAAGGCATTCACCAGAAGGCGTTCAGGGGGTTCAGGGCACTCACCTCATCGATGCTGGGGTACGGGATGTAGTCTTCCTGGAAAAAGGAACCAAAACATCATCCATGACCATCTGCTCCCCCGGCTGTCCCTTAAAACCCCAGCCCTGCCCACCCAAGCCAGGGAAGGCCTCCAGCACCTGCTGGTCCCTTGCAGGAAGGCACCAGTGCAAGCTAAGCCCTGCCTAAAGGGAGTTCCTCCACTGGTGCAACTTCCAGTGCAGTGGCAAACCCCAACCCTTTTGCACAGCTGGGAGCTGACATGCACTGGGCTGGGCATAAAGCTGGATTAGGGATTTACAGGCACCATGCTCCCATCTCTGCAATTCAATCAGTGCCTTGTTTTTAGATAACATCCAAATCCTTCCCAGCCCTTTGAGTGACTGTCTTTGACAATCACAATAAACCTCTGAGATGGGGGGGACACTTGAAGAGATGCCCCCAGGAAACAAAAATCAACCAACCTTGTGTTTTTGGCTTCCAGACCTCTGTTCTTCCAGTTTTGGTGCCTGTTCGGAACAAAATGAATGTATTTTAGATGCTTTGACCCACACAGGGGGTCAGTCCACCAACATGAGGGTATTTTGCTACATGGAGATCACTCCAATCCAAGTGGCTGGAAGGGGAGGTCTGTTCCTGGGACAGGCCCTCTGCCCTTGGGGCCTGTGCTGGGGCAAACATCCCGAGTTTCTGGCATGCACACTGCTGCTCACCTGCATTTTTTCCAGCATTTCGAAGAATTCTGCCGACTGAAAAGAAAAGAAGGAAATCGACTGTTCGAGAAAAGCAGACACAAAGCAAGCCAGTCCAAGCCACATGACAGCAGGGACACTGGACCCCCAATCTGAGCACTTTTCCTGCTCCCTGAGTGTTACCAGGAATTTACTGGGATTCCCATGCAGCCCCACCTGGAACTCAGCATCATTGCTGCAGCTGCCCTTGCCAGAAGACCTCGACCCCCAAAAATGCCGAGCTTTGAGCACGTTTGATCAGGGGCCTTAAATCATCTATTTTCTTAATCACAGCAGCACTGGTGAAGCTGCTGCCTGTGGTGCTGGGCTGCCCAGCGCAGGGTTAATCCCGCTTGCCACAGGAACCGAAGAGATTACTGAGCTGCTCCCGTTGGAATCCCCGCTGGGCTGCCCGGCTCGGGAGTGCGGG